AATAAAATATAATTATAGAAAAAAAAATTGCTTTGTGCTCTAAGCTGGTGAGGAGTGGGGCCACAGGGTGAACCAAGTTCTGCTGTTCCAGAACCTACTCTCTTCCTCATTTCACTAAGTCTAGTACAGGAAAACACAACTCTCTTACTATCTCCCAGTAGGCAATTCATTGGATAGCTCTGTCTCAATTTCCTTGTTAATTAAATAAAGATACTGTTACTCATCCTTCAGTATTGCACAGAAATATGAAGGTTATAAAATGAGAAAAGTGTGTCAATTCTAAGAAGGGAAATTGCTATCTAAATCCAAGACACTGTCATATTTTCACTCAGCTCTTCTCGATTCAGGAACATAAAGGGATTTAGCAGACACTGTAAGTTCTCAAACATCCTGTGAAGTGGCTAGTGAGGATTATTATCGCTACTTATCAAAAAGCTGAAACATGAGGAAATGACAACATTTCCTACTCAGTGGCAGAACTGGGGATAAAACCAAGGATTTTCTCACTCCCACTACTTTTTATCTTATGGTAAAACTGTATTTTTTCCATTTTCACGCTTACAGAGAAGGCACTGTAGTGCCCATTTCAAATCATAAACACTTTCAGAAATTACTTTTTTTTTTTTACCACAATGACAAGAGTGTAATCTCCAAGCTTCCTAAACATCTTATTCTAGAGAAAATGCACAAAGAATCAGAAAGAGAAAATGTGCATCTTTCCAGTATGGGTTTTACTTCTTTTCTCTTCAAAGCCTCCAAAACTGGCTTTGCCATTAGCTAGTTACTGTTGGTGAGTCTATAACCTTCTACAAAGAACATAAAACCCTCACAATTAAGTTGTTCCCTCATAAAATCAGAGGGAGAAACATCAAATGCATTTTCACATCATAAATACCTAATGGAGCGATGCAATTTGACTTGTAAATGTTTCTAACATATCAGCCAACAATTCCCTGGCTCAAAATTCGAGTTTCAAAGCTAACAGTGTCATTCATATCACAATAAAAGTACAGACAGCTCCTTTATGAGCACTGTTCTGCCGAACAAGCACCAAAATAATACTTGATTGCTTCCCATCCAGGCACCGCCAGACACATACAAACTTCAAAGCAAAAGAGGAAATAGTAAGGGGCACTTCTGTTTTCCATTCTCTGCTTTAAATAGGGAATAATGTTCAGTTTAGATTTCAGATTAGTAACATCTTCTAATTCTTATTTTCTAGAAGAATAAAATGATCTTTTAGTTACTACTAGATGGAACATCACACACCCTGAAATTACCCTGGGGACCAAACAGGTAGAACCTGAGGAGAGAAAGACATTTCTGCTTTCTAACAGAGTTAACAACTGGGTCCAGAGGTACTTCAATATGACTCCACCTGACTCTGACTGCATTGCAGACTTACGGGTGAAAAACCTGTCATTTGTTGTTAGGTGCCGTTGAGTACGACTCATAATAACCCTATGAACAACAGATCTGAACCCTATCCTATCCTGTGCCATCTTCATACTTTTTGACACATTAGAGCCCATGGCAGCAGTCACCATGTCCATCCGCCTGTCTGAGGGTCTTTCTGTCCTTCACTTACCCTCCACGCTTCCCAACATCATGTCCCTCTCCAAGAAGTAGCCCTTCCTAGCAACATGCCCAAAGTATGTAAGGCGAAGCCTCATTATTCTTGCCTCCAGCTCTCCGGCTGCACCCTCTCCAAGACATCTGCTTGTTCTCTTGGCCGTCCATGGATGTTCAGTGCTCTTCTCCAACAAACACCACAGCTCAAAAGTGTCAATTCTTCTTCTGTCATCCTTATTCACTGTCCAGCTCTCAGATGCACAGGAAGTGCTCAGAAAGTCCATGGCCTGAATCAGATGCTCCGTAGTCCTCTGACATCATTACTTCTCAATAATTTTGAAAAGTCCCTAACTGCAGACTTTCTCAGTGCAACCTGTCTCTTTATTTTCTGACTACTGGTAACAAGGGTGTTAACTGTGCATCCAAGTAAGCTGAAGTTGCTGACAGTTTCAATCTCCTCTCTGTCCATCATGATGTTGCCTATCAGCAAGAATCTTTGTTTTTTTTGACACTGAGATGCAATCCATACTGAAGGGTGAATTATTTGATCTTTTGCAAAAAGAGCTCCAAGTCCTCCTCACTTTTCAGCAAACAAGGTTGTATCATCTGCATAATGCATTTTTAAAAATAATTTTAATGAATATTTACAGAGAATTTGGATTTCCATTCATTCATTGCTGCACTTCTCTACCCGCCCAGCCCTCTCTCCCCTCCCCCCACCAGTTCGCGCCTCTCTTTCAAAACTAAAAGAAAGCCTCCCTCCCTGGTACACAATCCCTCCACACCCCTCCCACCGCCCCAAGTACATTCCACTACGCAACCTTAATTGTGGACTCTCTTGTGATAACCATAATACCCTACCATACATCGCTTTTAAATTATGCAGTCCCTCATCTGTTTCAGTGCATTTTATTAATGAATCTCCTTCCAATCCTGATACCACATTCCTCTTCATAGATTCTAGCTTCTCGAATAATATGCTGTCATTTGTTAAGACAAAAAACTAAATCACAGGAATCTAAAGTGTTGTTCTACTTGAGATGGTGAAATCACTCCCAGCTACACAGAAACATCCTGATGGTATTGCTGTTTTGCTGTTTAAGTACTGGGCTGCTAACCCAAACGCGTCTGGCTGGAATTAATCAGTTACTCCACAGGAAGAAGTCTGCTTCTGTCAAGACCACAGCCTCAGGAGGCCTACGGGCAGTTCTGCTCTGTCCTTTAGCGTGGCTGTGAGTTGGGAAATAAGAGTGGGGAGGTGGGGTGGGGTGGGGGGACAACACACACCTAATGTACAGTGAAAACAAAGGAAGTTCTGTGCAGAACCCACAGTTCTCTACATGGATGTTTTCATCTCAGTCAGTCCTTGGAGAAAAATCTTAGTGTCTGTAATTGAAACCAAGCCCTTAGGGTTCAGGGGCTTTAAGGTCACCTGAACTTTGAAGGGAACATTATTTAACTGGGGTCTTTTTAAACAGCACAATGTCACTCAGGAGGTCAGAAGAGGAAACTGAGAGACTTAGTCTCCAAGAAACCCCTGGGTGGTGAGAACATCACTCAGCAGACCACAGTGTTGGGGTGGCCAGGCTCTAAGGAACACTTGCGAATAGAAAGAACCTTGATCAGAGAAGTGTTCTTAAAACACACAGCCCTTTTATACCAGATCCCTAACAAGGAAACCTTGTGTGACCTAAACCCAATGCAATTCCTTAATAAACAGTAATTTTCAAGAATGTCTTTTGTGCTGACAATTTATTAGGGTTTGATGAATTAAGGCTCATATGGGCACAAAACTCTCAAATCCTCAAGCCTTTAGTAATCAAAGCGTTGATCCAAACAAGTACTTAAAAAAAAAATGTCAAAGACAAGTGATGTTTACAAATAGCTTATAAGAAAATCATTTGGAATTAATAATTTTCCTTGCCCCCCACAAAATAAATAGCTCTCATACCAAAAACACTTCTCCTTAGACAGGAGAGAAAAAGCCCAAGAAAAATACTTGAAGACATACAGAAGTTTCTGAGCCAGACTCAGTCTTCTTAAATTTATCTGAGAAGCCAGGGAAGGGTCAGGGAAAGCAGACAGCTGGTAAATTTCAATGGAAAAGATCACATGTAACAGCAACAGTCCACCCCCCTTTGGAAAGACAATAAACTCCCATAAACATTCATTTGTAGGTTTTAATAGTACTTTCTTTTGGTGCCAACAGTCCAAACTGCTCCACAAAGCTTTAACCAACCATGACCCAAACTAAGTTGGCTATAAGTCCAGCTGGCTATACTTGTGTCTATGCTGATGAGCATTTCAAGCCCAATGGGGTAAAATGCATGGTGGGAGGTGCAGGAGTAAAGAGGGTGGACTGTTTGCAGGCGGTTTATCTTCAGGAGGTGTCGCCCCACATGGAGCACAGTGCCGCACGGACAGGTAAGGTGTCTGTCTCAGTGCTTGCCTGCGTGCTTCAGCCCCATCACCGTGAAGGTCGCAGCCGTCAGCTTCTCGTAAACTAGGAACATGAGCGCCGCAGTCAGGACCGTCTGCAGCAGTTTGGCTTCCAGGCCTTTGTAGAGTCCCATTATTCCAAAGCGCCTGAAAGGAGAAAGGTTTAAAACAAGTGAAAGGCTTTCCTGAGAAAAAAAGTCAAACTCTTGCATCATAGATGCTACCCTGACAGCTAGCTACTTTGCAATGTTTAATCCTCAGATCAGATAAGTAGGAGAGGTTTGAGGTTTAAGCACAGGCTTTTGTTGTCAAACTACTTAACTTTAAAGATATTCTGAGGGTTGATGAGAGTTGAGTGGTCAAGAATTACTAATACTTTGTTGTTTTATAGTCATTAACATTCATTGTTGTGTATCACAAGAATCAGATTTGACCCATAGCGAAGCCTCTGGCAGGTTTTCAGAGGCAGTAATTGCACGGGAGGAGACTGCCCATCTTTCTCCAGCAGAGCAGCTGGTGGCCTTGAACCATGCCTTTGAGATTGCAGCACAGCTTCTTGCCATTAGGCCACCAGAGCTCCCTAATACTCATTAGTGGAATGCTTTTAACATTCATTGTTGTCATGTGCCATCAAGTCTCCTGCGAATCACAGCAACCCTATGCACAAAAGCTCTGAGTCCTGCCTTACCCTGAGCAACCTTGTCTCTGACACACCTATCCATTACCCCAGTGACTGAGGCAATCCATCTCATCAAGAGTCTTCCTCTCTTGCACTGTCCCTTCATCTTCCCAAGCATGATGTCCCTCTCCAAGGACTGTTCCCTCCTTGCAACATGCCCAATGTCAGACGAAGCTTCAGAATCCTTGCCTCCAAGGAACAGCCTGGATTCACCCTCTCTAGCATGAACATGTTTGTTCTCCTGGCAGTCCATGGTATATTCAGTATTCTTCTCCAGCATCAAAGCTCAAAGACATCAATTCTCCTTCTAGCATCCCTAGTCATTGTCCAGCTTTCTAATACATACATAGCATGTAATTGTGAAGACCATGGCCTGGATCAGGTGTACCTTGGTCTCCAGACTGACATCGTTGCTTTTCAGTACTCTGGAGAGGTTCCTGACAGCAGACTTTTTCAGTGCAATTCATCTTTTGATTTCCTGGCTGCTGGTACCAAAAGTGTTGATTGTAGAGTCAAGCAAACTAAAGCAAATCTCAATCTCTTCAGTATCTATCATGATGTTGCCAATCAGCCCAATGGTAAGAATCTTTGTTTTCTTGATGTTGAGCTTTAATCCATATCGAAGGCTGCAATCCTTGACCTTCTGCAGCAAGTGCTTCAGGCCCTCCTCAGTTTCAGCAAACGAGGTTGTGTCATTTGCCATGAGGCAGGTTACTGATGATTCTTCTTCCAATCCTGATGCCACATTCCTCCTCAAAGAGCCCAGCCTCCTGGATGATCTGTCCCACTTATAGATTGAGAAGGTATGGAGATAAGACACATCCCTGGTATACACCCTTTCTGATTTAACATTCATTAGTGGAATGCAAATCATATCCCATGATATGATCCTACAACATTATAAAACCAAAACCATATCTAACCAGAATTTTGTAGATCTTTATTTTAAAGGAAGTTCTGGTGGCATAATCCATAGGAAGTTGCATTGAGGACCCAAAAAACAAGTTTTGCTGGCAGTTGAAATCCACCACTTGCTCTAAGGGAGAAAGATGGGCATCACCTCCTGTGTGATTTACAGCCTCTGAAAACCACTGTCAGGTCAGCTACAAGGGGATTCCAACTAGACTGCAATGAGGTTTTGAGTTTTCTATAACGATCACCCAATTCAACTCAAGTGGCTATGAGGTATAGTTGATTTGACGGTACTAAAGAACAACAGGTTGGAATCCAGTTTGGGAAGATGAGTGGAGCAGTAAGATTCTCCAAAGATGCGTTTTCTGGTTTTGGTTGAGGCTTGGGTGTGGGATGTTTGCTCATAATTGGGTGGGAGCTGATTGGACTTGGTCTCATATTTAAAAAGGCATTTGGTCAAACATTCTTCTAAGTGGTATAGCACTGGCCTGTCAGTTTGGTGTATAGAGGTAACTCGTGGTAGCTGTGATGCTAAGCACTGTGACACTGATGTGTCAAGTGCTATAATAGTTACCCAGAGTAGACAGTATTTGGTAGAGCTCCCAGATTAAAACAGGCTTGGAAGCAGGAGTGGCATCCACTCCTGAAATAGCTTGCCTCCAGAAATGATGAATTTAAGAAGTGATGAAAGTTCTATAAGTGTTCAGGTCTTTTGTTCATAGGGATGCTATGAGTCATCTATGACTTGATGGCACTTAACAACAACAAACAACAAAGAACAACAACTCATTTCTCTTTTTGCATGTCATTTGTTATTTCTGAGAATAAACACAACAAAACATACACCAATTTCACAGTCTCTACACATACAATTTAGTGAGACCACTTCTTTGATCTGTGCACTCTCCCTTCAACTGTTCCTCCTGTTAACATAAACTCATTTCTTCATTTTCCTATATAATCTTTTGAGTTGCTGTTGCCTAGTTTGCTCCTACATAACAGCTTTAAAAATATCATAATGCTAAGCTAAATGATTGAGCTCTGGTGGCCTAGTGGCAAGAAGCTGTGCTTCTATCCCAATGGCACGCAGTTCAAGGTCACCAGGTTTCTGAGGAAGGATGGGCAATCTCCTCCAGTGCAACTACTTCTCTCTGAAAACTCCTGGGTTGGTTCCAACTCTACAGTACACAACAAGCTGAATGCCTATTTGGTTTTAAGAAGTGTTTAGAGGATTTTTTTTTAGAGATTTAAACATCTCAGTAATAGTTGTAGGGATGATCCATCTTCATTGGCTCCAGAAAAAAGTCTGATGTAAATTACAGTTTTAAATTCTGTTCTTCATTTCCTCCCTCTTGATTGAGATTCTTCTAGAGATGCTCTGAGGAAAGTGTTTAGTAATGGCAGCCAGGCATCTCTCAGTGCTTCTGGTTTCATGGAAAAGGAGGCAACTGTTGCTGGAGGCAGTTAGGTACACATTTCACCTCCTCCTACTCTTAACTCTCCTCCTTCCACAGTTGCTTTAGGCAACAATTATTTCAACTTAACAGTATCTAAATGGTAGAGAGGCTGCTAAATGGTTTTGATCATATTAACTTCAATAAAACTAGAGAAAGTGATAAAAATGAAGGACTATCAGATTTCTCTCTGGAGACTAAGGTGCGCCTGATAAACCATGGTCTTTTGCAATCACTTGTTATGCATCGGAGAGTTGGACAATGACCAAGGAGGATAGAAGGAGAATTGATGCCTTTGAGCTGTGGTGCTGGAGAAGAGTTTTGAATGTACCATGGACTGCCAAGAAAACAAACTGGAGAGGGTTAAACCAGGCTACTCCTTGGAGGCAAGGATTCTGGGGCTTTGTCTGACATACTTTGGACATGTTGTAAGGAGAGACCGGTCCTTGGAGAGGGACATCATGCTGGGCAGAGTGGAGGGACAGCGCAGGAGGGGAAGACCCTCTATGAGGTGGACTGATTCAGTGACTGGGGTAATCGGGATGGGTGTGTGAGAGGCAGTGCGATTGGCACAGGATAGAGCAGGGTTTAGGGCTGTTGTGCATAGGGTCGCTATAAGTCGCAAATGACTCGACGGCACATAACAACAACAATATCAGATTTTCAGTCTTCCTATACACATGTGATCCGCTGACCCAGGGTTCACCAATTATAGAATTCACTAGAATAACCTAAAGGGCTTGTTAAACCATAGCTTGTTGGGTCTCGGCTCAGTGTCTCTAACTTATTAAATGTAGGGTGAAGAGAGAGAATTTGCATTTGTAATTAGCTCTCAGATGAGACTAAAAAGGCAAATGTCAGCTTGGGGTTCACTCCTACAAAGTGACAGTTCTCTAGAACAGTGCTTCAGCTCGAACTAGGGGTACATGAGCTCTCCAAAACCATTTGTGGAGAGTAAATTAATCTCTTGTGGTCTCTCATCAGCAATTTTAGGTCTATGCAGAGTACACACATTTTTCTGATCAAGTGCTTTGCTCAGAAATTACTAGAGTCTCCAACTCTGATTATCTTAGCACAAACTGTCCCTGTATTTATGACTAGCTTTCCCCCCACTGTTCCCTACCCAGGACATCTTATCACCAGTCATATGTATTACATGCAACATGGCAGCACATAATTTTCTGATGTCATCATTCTCAGATGTTTGCTCATAGTTGTTCAAAACACTGCTGACTGACAGGCTATGGCCTGGTCTACAATAAAGTGGGAAATCAAGATCGATAGAAAGTAGGTAGGACAATTTTTTATTCTAATGACATAAGACAACTGAACTTCACGTGTTCCTGACAACCATAAAGACTTTGACTTCACTGTTAAGACACTAATGCCTAACAGTAAGATCGCCTTTGGAATTTTGTACAATCAGATGGATCAACTTCCAACTGTAATTGTTGGGAGTAAATTTTTATAACTTTAAATTTGTGGATGTGTGTGTGTGTGTGTGTATGTTACTGCTGAGTCAAATACAACTCATAATGAGCAACATACAGAAACCTTGCCCTCTCCTGCACCATCGTCACGATCTCTGCCAAGCTCAAACCCCCTGTTAGTCACTGTGACAATCCATCTTGTTAAGAGTCTTTGTTTCTCTTGCTGACCCTCTTGTAAGGAGGGACTAAGTCCTTAGAAAAAGACAGCATGCTGGGAAAGTTAGAGGGTCAGGAAAAGAGATGGATTAAAATGTATCTGTAAGTTTTTATGCCGTCCCGATCGGAGTGATTGGTAGTGGTAGCTGCTCTTAACGTCTTAACTTTCCTATTAACATCTTTTTAGCTCACACTGCTAGAGAAGCTAAGACGGACAAATTAGTATCACCTTCCCTAGGTGAATTTAGCAAAAGCTTGCTGGGCTCCACAATCAACAATCTTAACACCAGCAGTCAGGAAATCGAAAGATGATTTGCATTGGGAAAATCTGCTGTCAGGGACCTCTCCAGAGTACTGAAAAGCAATGATGTCTAGAGACTAAGACGCACCTAATCCAAGCCATTGCCATCTTTGAAATTACTTCCTATGCATCAGAGAGCTGGATAATGATTAAGGATGACAGAATAATCGATGCCTTCAAGTTGTGGTGCTGGAGAAGAGTGTTGAACATACTATGGACTACCAAGAAAACAAATAGGTCTGTCTTGGAGAGGGTGAAACCAAGTTTCTCCTTGGAGGACAGGATTTTGAAGCTCTGTCTTACATACTCTGGGCACATGGCCAGGAAAGACCAATCTTTGGAGAAGGAAATCATGCTCGGAAGGGTGGAGGGACGGTACAGGAGAGGAAGACCCCAGGTGAGATGGATTAATATAGTAACTGGGGAAATGGGAGTAGGTGTTAGGGAGTTAGTGAGACTGGCTCAGGATAGAGCAGGGTTTAGAGGTGCTGTACAAAGGGTCACTATGAGTCGCAGGCGACTCAACGGCACTTAACAACAACAATAAAATTTTCCATGTTCAAACTTCTCAATTCTAATTCAAGGAATTTTCTCTATAAATTAACTCAAGTTGTATGTCGACATATTTATGGGTTATGCATTTGGCAATGTTTGTCAGGGCAAAAACCTAGGAAAACGGTATAGTTTATCACAGAAAGTGAGGCACCACTACAAAGAATACAGTAAATCTTGAGATAAAGATGCAAATAGAGGCTTGTGATATGAAGTTTAAAAAATAGGTGCATTATAGAGTAGTATTAACATATAAACATACAATCCCATTATATTATATAAAAATGTGAGCTTTGTATAACATTATGAAAACACACCCATTTGACTGTTAATTGTAATTATCTTTTGAAAAAGGGAGAATAAGAGAGAGAAAGCAGGAAGCATGCATGTGTACATTTATTTGTAACTATAGTGAAGAAGAAATTCAAACCTCGAGTTGCTATAATCAAGGATGCTTTCGGCAGAATGTTAAATGATCCTGGAAGTATTAAAAGAAGATGGAAGGAATATACTGAGTCACTGTATCGAAAGGAATTGGAAGACACAGAAGAATTTCATGAAACAACATATGAGCAAGAGCCTATGGTGATGAAAGAAGAAGTTCAGGCTGCTTTGAAGGACATGGCAAAAAATAAGGCTCCAGGAATAGATGGTATACCAATTGACATATTTCAGGTGACAGATGCAGCCCTGGACGTGCTCACCAAGTTGTGCCAAGAAATCTGGAGAACAACCACTTGGCCAACGGACTGGAAGAGATCGATATTTGTTCCTATCCCAAAGAAAGGCGACCCAACTGAATGTGGAAACTACAGAACAATTTCACTGATTTCACATGCAAGCAAGATTTTACTGAAGATTATCCAAAAACGACTGGAACAGCACATCAACAGAGAACTACCAGAAGTCCAGGCTGGTTTCAGAAGGGGTCGTGGTACTAGAGATATTGTAGCTGATGTTAGATGGATCTTGGCTGAAAGCAGGGAATACCAGAGGAATGTCTATCTGTGTTTCATTGACTATGCAAAGGCATTTGACTGTGTAGATCATAACAAACAATGGCTGACTCTGAGAAGAATGGGAATCCCAGAACACTTGATCGTTCTAATGCGAAACTTATACTTGGACCAGGAGGCAGTCGTCAGAACAGAGCAAGGGAACACTGCATGGTTCAAAATTGGGAAGGGTGTACGCCAGGGATGCATCCTATCTCCATACCTTTTCAACCTATATGCAGAACAGATTATCCGGGAGGCTGGGCTCTATGAGCAGAAATGTGGGGTCAAGATTGGTGGACGATTTATGAACAATCTGTGTTATGCGGATGACACAACCCTGCTTGCTGAAACTGAGGAGGACCTGCAGCACCTGCTGCAGAGTGTCAAGGACTGCAGCCTACAATATGGACTGAGGCTCAATGTCAAGAAGACAAAGATTCTCACCACTGGACCAATTGGCAGCATCACGATGGATGGTGAAGAGATTGAGATTGTACACAGCTTTAGTTTGCTTGGCTCCATAGTCAACAGTCTTGGCACCAGCAGCCAGGAAATTAAAAGGCGCATTGCCATGGGAAAGTCTGCTGTTAGGGACCTCTCCAAAGTGCTGAAGAACAATGGTGTCTCTCTGGAGACTAAGGTGCGTCTGATACAGACCATGGTCTTCGCAATCACCTGTTATGCATCAGAGAGTTGGACAATGACCAAGGAGGATAGAAGGAGAATTGATGCCTTTGAGCTGTGGTGTTGGAGAAGAGTACTGAGAATACCACGGACTGCTAGGAAAACAAATAGATTTGTCCTGGAGAGGGTTAAACCGGGTGGCTCCTTGGAGGCAAGGATTCTGAGGCTCCGTCTAACTTACTTTGGACATGTTGTGAGGAGAGACCGGTCCTTAGAGAGGGACATCATGCTTGGGAGGGTGGAGGGACGGTGCAGGAGAGGAAGGCCCTCTATGAGGTGGATTGATTCAGTGACTGGGATAATTGGGATGGGAGTGTCAGAGACAGTGCGATTGGCACAGGACAGAGCGGAGTTTAGGGCTGTTGTACATAGGGTCGCTATGAGTCGCAGGCGACTCGACGGCACATAACAACAACAAAAACATAGTGAAATTTAACTGACTTCGAACATGATGAGTTTTGATTTATGTATCCTCCCTAAAACCATCACCCTGAAAGCAATGGTGCAAACAGATATTTATCCCTCCTCATGTCCCCATACACTACAGACCCCAGTCCCAGGTCATACCTGTTCTACTTTCCCTATTAATTTGTATTTCTCAGAATTTTATATGAACAGATTCAGAAAGTAGGAATCTTTTTCATCTGACTTCTTCGAGTCAGCATAATTATTTTGCGATTAGTCCATGTTGTTGCAAGAATCAGTAATTCTGAAAGCATACTTAACTGTTAAGAATGACTATCTTTTGAAAAGAAATTGAAAGAGAGGGAAAAGCAGGAAATATGCATTATCATGATTTGCACAGTATTCCACTGAAGCTTATGTCAAAATTTCCCCAATGATGGCTATGTGGATTGTTTCCCAGTACTTTACTATTATTAATAAAGCTGCTATTTCTCTTTGTGTGCAAGTCTTTATAGAGACATATGTTTTCATTTCTTCTGGGTAAATACTTCAGAATAGAATGACTTTGTCCTATGGTTATGTTTAACTTTTAAGAAAATGCCAAAGTGGTTGAGCTATTTTAAATTCCCACCAGTATGTACGAAAGTTCTAGCTGCTACCTAGCTCACTAAAACTTGATTAGGTGAATACTTATTTTTTTAACAATTCTTTTTCTGTGATTTATCTTTTTATCCCAGGCATATTCTATTTTTATGATATATTTATTTAAAAAGTGCTTTGTTAAAAAAAAAAAAAGTGCTTTGTCACAAAGCGCAGGAGTAAAGCTTTTCCTTCAAAGGAAAATATCAGTTTCTTTGAGTGGAACAGGGAAAAATACCTACTCCAGAGGGGGTCTGTGAGATTAAGTGAGACACCCATGCAAAGCGTCCACTGCAGTGTCTGACAAATGGTTCCTGGTAAGTGCTGTCTAGCTCACAGCAACCCAATGAAGAAACAGATCTGAGCTTTGCCCTATACTGTCCCATCCTCATCATTTCTGAATATACTTGAGCCCACTGGTACAGTCACTGTGTCAATACATCTTGTTGAGAGTCTTCCTATCTTTCTCTGATCATCACCTTTCTAAACAGGATGTCCCTTTTTAAAGACCAGCCCCTCCTAAAAACATGCCTAAAATATGTGAGATGAAGTTTTACCATCCTTGCCTCCAAGGAGCAACCTGGCTGCATTGTCTCCAAATTTTTTTTTGATTGTTCTTTTGGCAGTCCATGGATATTCAGTATTCTTTCCCAGCACCATAACTCAAAGGCATCAATTCTTCTTCTGTCATCCTTAGTCATTAACCAACTTTCAGATGCCATCAGCAATTAAAAAGACCATGGCATGAATCAAATGCACCTTAGTCTTTAAACTGACACATTGCTCCTTAACACCTTAGAGAGGACCCTGACAATGGATTTACCCAAAGAAATTAATCTTTGGATTCCTTGACTGCTTGCTGGTGCCAAGGGTGTTGATTGTGGACACAAGCAAGATTAAATCATTGACCATTTCAATCTTCTCTCCACCTATCATGATGCTACCCTACTAGCCCAGAGGTGAAAATTTTTTGTCTTCTTGACACTGAGATATAATCCATATTGAAGGCTGTAGACAATGATCTTCTGCAGCAAATCCTTCAAGTCCTCTTCACTTTGAGAAGAGCAAGGTTGTGCAATCTGCGTAATACAGATAAATGCAGATGCATATTGAATCTTCCTCTGATCCTGATGCCATACTCTTCTTCATAAAGTCCAGCCTCTTGAATGATTTGCTCAGCACTCAAACAACACAGATATGAAGAAAAGGTACAGTCCTGCTGAGCGTCTGTCTTGGCACATAGTAAACACCCAAAAATGTTAGCTACTTTTATCATCTCCTTGACATTAACTGTTAGTATTCTTCCTTCTCCTTGCCATTGTCTTCCCACTGCAACTATTCTGTAGCACCTGCTTGTTCCTATCAATGGAAAAGGTCATAGGATATGTCACTGATGGAAACAACAGGGATCCTTGTTCTGTACATTTGTAAGCAATACAGTACATGAACTTGAACTTTTCTATTATTTCCCCAAATGTTGTCATAAACTCCTAGCTTACAAGGGTGAGGATGCCTAGGTGCTACAGCTAACGCTGAGAGAGAGGGCAGACCACATCAAAACCACAAAGCTCACTTGACTCGCTGGTGTAGCAGGAAGAGAACATTCCGGAGACTTCCAAGTGTTCTGTTTTCTGGGTTTAGTCTGTGACGTCCAAACTGGGGAAGAAGGAAAAAGGTAAATGATGATTGTTTTGATACTGTATTCTTTGTCTTCATTTATACCTGGACAGAAAAGTTACGTAAGATGAGGTCTTATAACACACAGTAACAAAAATATCTGACAATTACTACGATGTCGTTCTTCTATTTTCAATGAAATAAGTAGGGGCAAGCAAGATCATCTTTATTTTCAATCAAAACATGATCACGGAAGAAGGAAATTCTACTGAAAAACCAAAAACCAAATAAGAGACCCCGACCCCCAAGTCCATGATAATGATGGTACTGATGGTATGACTCCTTAACTTCTACTTTCTTACAAAGCTCCAATAAACTCTCATCAGTTACAACTTCTGTAGTCCAAATTCTTCATTTTAGGTTTGCAATATAAAAATGCTACAAACCATTTATTTGAGGCCTTCCCTACATATAAGGAAGGAGGGCTGTCCAATTGGGGATGTAACTTTCTTTTTTTTTTTTTTGTAACTTTCTAATAAATCTATCATTACTATAAAAAAAATAAACCCAAACCCAAACCCATTTATTTGAAAGCTTTTAAAAGAATACATTAGCACCACAACAAGATAAAGGTAAATAATCCAATAGAAAAATGGGCACAGGATATGAACAGACACTTCACCGAAGAAGACATTCAGATGGCCAACAAGCACATGAAGAAATGTTCAAAGTCCCTAGCTCTAAAAGAGATGCAAATCAAAACAACTATGAGATATCA